AGACTGAAGAGAATTTAGAAAGCCTCTTTTGACCTTTAATAAGCTTTCCATTGGGTTCTAAGTAACTTCCGTAGGTATTGTCTAACTTGTAGAATAAGGGTGCAGTGGTTGCACTGGTTAAGTATGTCTCTCTTTTTGATTTAAAGCCTACGATGAGCTCTGTGCAGTCTCTTTTATGTTCTGGGAGTTAATGCAAAATAATCATGGACTCATAGAATAATTTAGGTTGGAAGGATCTTTGGAGGTCATCCAATCCAAACATGACTCAAAGCAGAGCCAACTTCAAACTTAAATCAGTTTGTTCAGCACTTTGTCCAGTGGAGTTTTGAATATCACTGTGGATGGAAACATCCTTGAAAGAACCGTGAATAGGAAAATAGGAAAACTGTTACTGGTATCACCTTCTTTTACCAAAAGCCTGTGGTCTGTTGCAGCTATTGATGTCACTTACTTGCTGGAGGAAGGATCAGGAAGAAAACTGAGGCGGCGCACTCTGACCATCCCGGAGAGCAGCTTCAGGAAGTGATGCCACGAGAGGAAGCTGTGGTCTGGAGTCTGCTACAAGGTCTGCTGAGGACTGAGGGCAGGAGCCCAACTTCCTCTGCACCAGCCAAGGAAAAGAGGGCAGCAGAAAACTGACAAATATACAAACAGTTAGCACTTAGATGTCTGGGTTGGCAGGTTGCCCTGCCCTGCTCTGCAGTGCTCTTATGGTGTGTGTGTTGTTGGGCGTGCCTTGTATTGATGTTAGGTACTGAGAAAAATCTCGTGGTTATTGTCCAGGATGGTCAAATTTAATTTATTTTTGCTTGATATTCCCACTCAGAGGAAAAAAAAACAAAAAAACAAAAAAAACCCATAAAAACAGGGAGGTAAGAAGGATAACAACTGACTGACTCTGATGAGAATATTCCCCATATTCACCAATTAACCTGTGATTGTACAAGATACTGTTGGCACCACCATGGCCCATGCCAGTGAATGAAATCCAGATGGGAGGGTTAAGGCCCAGTGGCTTAAAATTAAAGGCTGCCCTAAAGTTGTGGCCTCTGATTTGCACAAGTTCCAAGAAGAAACGCACCCAAATGTGCGAAAGGTTCACCGTGGAATGGCCAGTGCACACATGTACCTTTGGTCTGTGACAAGGAGAAACTTCCAAAGTCACCTTGGAGCAAAGCAGGAGTTGGATGGTTGAGGCACTTGTTCTGCGTCATAGAGGGGGGAGGGGGCGGGGTGTGATTTTTTTCACTTTTTTCTGCAGAGAAATTTTATAAAGCAAGTCAAATCCTGACAACACCATTGCTGTTGGTTTTTTTGATAAGCTGTGGTTCTTGTGTGTCTAGTGTGTTGTGCAAATTAAAATCTGTTAAAAGAAAAAGAAAAAAAAAAAAGGAAACTTCACTACATGAACCGTCAAGCAGTATTCAGAGCGAGTATTTGTTGTGAACTGTAGAATATATCAACTGCTAACACTATTCTTGTGTTCTGGTTGTACAGCTTAAAATGTCTGTCTCTTAAATTAAGAGACAGTGTATCTCGCACCGCCCTCTCTCTCTGCCCTGACGAAAAGTATTATTCCCGAAAGCAACAGCCGAGGCACTGATTTCTCACTGCATGAAATTGCAATTGCCGTAACATACCACAAACCAGTGCTGCAGCAGGACTCCCTGTACTGCACCCAACAACTTTCCAGGTGTGCAGAGCCACGAAGCTGTCACCTGTCTCTGGGCCAGGGCCAGGCTGTGGCAAAGGGAGGGGGTGGTCAGCATACGCTGCCCCTTTAAAATGGCTTTGCTTTTTTGTCTTTCAGACGTACATATGCATATACAGTCCTGTTTTAGATGTTCTTATAAGAAAACCAGTTTTTAATGTGCCAAGTTGTATATATCTGCTGCGTGGATGTAAAGCAATACAGTAGTTACATGTTCCTTTTTAATGGACCAAGCTTGTCCTAATGTACATTCTTGTTATTATTATAATTATTTTACTCTTAGTGGAACATGACTCATTCCATTAACTTTTATGTGTTGATTTAAAAAGAAAAAAAAAAAGAAAGGAAAAAACCCTTTGAGAAAAAATATTTTATTAAAAAAAAAAAAAAGAAATAAGAAAATAGTTTGGAATATTTTCTTACTGTAGAGAAGCACTGTACAGTACCAGGAACCCTGAGTATAAAATACTCGTGCGTGTAGTAGGAATATCGCATGTCCAAAATCTTGAGTTGTCTCATTTAGTTTAAAACAGAAATCATTGTCTCAAATGGTGTTAAACACTAAAAAGTTTTTAAAAAATAAAGTGCGTACAGAAGCGAGACACTAGCTCTGTCATTTTATCTTTCTTTTGTTGAAAGACTAAACAAAATGTTTTTTAGACAATCAAATGTTAGGTAAGTGCAAAGAATTGTTTTTCTTACTGGTGTAGAAATTAATGACTTTTTTTATTTTTCGGTTATTTTATAATAATGAAAAGACCAGTGTGTCACCAGGATCGCTGTTTTAAGACCAGGAAGCACTACATTATTGCAAATAGATATGAACTCTTAGTCTGCATGGGTGTAGGCTGTGTGATTGCTGAAAATAAATGCTGCTAATATATTTCCTTTTTACAAAGCATATCTAAATAGATCATTGTTTTGATGTTAATCTTTGTAAATTATGTATTACCAATTTTAACATTGGATGTAATTGCATAAAAAGCCTGCATCTCAATCCTGAGAGAGTCTAGTATTAAATGGAAAATCTTTTCCTATTGATGACTTGTGGGGTTTTCTTTGACATGTCTTTGATTTTTGTTTCTCACTTCTTTGTCTCAACCACTCCTGTCATGTTTTGACTCTCCTACAGCTGCTTTTCTGGGGGTTGTTGCCCTGTCTCTTTCAAATATCCAGTTGTTTGATGGGTGATGGTGTTTCGCTGGGATTTAATTTGGTGCTGATGGTTCTTCTGGTCAGATCTTGGCAGGAGGGATGATGGCAGCATGCATGCAGAGCGACAGGAGCATCAGCACAAACATTGCCTGTTTGGTAGTCAGAGGGTGTGTAACCATGATTGTACATAATGGCAGGATGAACATGACCCATTAAATCTACAAATTTAGTGCCTACTTGCAGAATATAAACCCCTGGTACCTAGAGACATTGTCTCCCATGCCTGCATAGACAGCAGATTCAGTTCTGTCAACATCATTAATGCATCTCACAGTAGCAGTGCACTTACCCCCGCTAATATTAGACCAGAGTCATGTCAGGAAAATGACTTGCACTGTGTGGCATGTTCCCCTCCACTACCAAAAAGTCTGGTAAGCTAGAAAGGCTAAGAAGTGTTTTTGAGTTGTTGGGAGCTGTCAGCCCAATCCCATACCATTATGCTGCCCTGTGCTTGTTGGCACACAGCAGAACATTAAGGAACGCAGCCTCTCTAAGGCTTTGTCAGCCTTCCATTTTCTCTGATACCCTCTGTAAAGGTTGGTACTAATGAGATACAGTTCTTGCAAATCTGTTAGGGTTTAAACTCCCCGTGGTTCAAAAGTGGTTGCTGGGAATAAGTTTGATAACTGTTTGTGTTAGTCACTTAGGAATGAAATAGCTTCTTGATGATCACCCCCTCTAATGTACTTGATTTTTCCTAGCCTGAATCACTACGGTCATTAAAATGCCACACTTGACCCATACGCTTGTCTTCCTTTTAAACTAGAGCCACCATGCCAAGGACTGTAATGCTTTATTATTATTAAAAAAAAAAAAAGTTGAAAAAGTACCTGGATTCATCTCCTGCTGGCTTGACCCCATTTCAAAGGCTAGAGGCAGTTGTGGAATTCAACCAAACCTACTTAAGGCAAGCCAAATAACATTCCAATTAAGATATAATGTCCCTTGTCTAAGAGTAAAAATTCCAGAGAGAGAAATGAAAATGAGAACAGAATAAAAGGAGCAGCTTTATCCTCAAAGCAGGCCACAGCCTGGCAGCTGAAGCATGGTTTCCTTTTCCACTGAAGCAGTGGAAGGTAGAAGGATGAAATGTGGTTCTTGGTCCATAGCAGAGAGCAGTGGCCCCAAAGTTGCCCCTTATGACAAGCTGCTCTTGCCTTGTGGCCCTTCGCTGGACACTCTCCAATGTGTCCACATCTCTCTTTTACTGGGAAGCCCAGTATAAAATGTAAACAGTGTGGTATAAAATCGCAAGCAATGAGAAAAACTTGAAAAAAATAGAGGCAATCCTGCCCCTCCTGACATCCTGTGACTCACTAAAAAAGATGAGTATAATTTAAGTAAATAACTAAACAAACACATACCTTTACTAGTACTGTGCAGCTTCCATCTTGGGGTTGGGGGGGAGGCTGGTTGCCAGCCAGCCAGCATGACGCACACTTTTCCAGGGTTATTTCTGGCTCTGCATGTTTGCAGCTGCCTCTTCCTACACCATGCAGGAGACTGGGCACTTTCTGCCAGGGCACGACACCTTACTATGGTTGACCTCTGCTGTTGGTATGTTGAGCACCAGCACAGCCCTGCATGTGCTGGCTTCTTCCGCAAGAGCATTTACTTGCCAAAGACCCAGCACCAGCCCAGGCCACCCACACAGGGGTGGGCCACATGGCCATTTCCAGCCACCCTCCCCCCCCAACCACAATGATCCATTCACACATGCAGACACGTGAGTCACAACCTTTATTTCCAGCTTCCCCCCCCAATAAGCTCGTTCCTGTGGTTACAACTATTTACAGAGTGCTGGGACTGTGCAGCTGCAGCTGGGGCCAGCCTGGGCCACCAGCCTCAGCACCAGGGCAGAGCAGGGCACATGGAGGTGGCAGCAGTGGCAGGAGATGAACAGCACAGAGACAACATCCAGGACCGTGAGCACTGCACAGGGACAGGGTCCTTCCCGCCCCCGTCACCAGCGTGGGCATCAGCTGAGGAAGCACGAGCAAGAGCAGTTCCCACATGGGAGCCACAGTGAAGTACCAGCAGCTCTGCAGGGACACACACAGCAGTGGCTCATGGGATGCACCCACGGCAGACAGTAACATGCGAACAAGCAGCAGTGACGGGCACCAGCGCAGGGTCCCCTGCAGAACTGCCAGCCCTGAAGGTGGTGAAGACACGGTAGGAGACAGTCCTTCCAGGAGATGGCACCTGCTTCCTCAGGTCTCCTCACAAAATTAGGGATGTGTAACCAACAGGAACTAGGCCAGTGCTGTTTCCATGGCAGCAGCAGATCCAGTCTTCATCCACGGTGGAAAGCAGCTGCAGGATGTCTCCTTTTTGGAAGCTCAGGTGACCATCGGCTGTGCCCGTGTGGTCACACAGCGCCCGAACTGCCCTGCACAACAAATGCCATCGGGAATTCACCTCCCCATGGACCCCAGATAGCACTGAGAGAGGCTCCCACAGGACTCTGGAGGGGTTTTGATGCTCGTGTGTGGAGCCAGTGCCCACCCTCCTCAGGCAGAGATGCCATCTGATAATGGATTTGATCGAGAAGCCACATCACAAAGGTGTCCTGCCAAGCAGATCCTTGGAGCAGCAGCAGAGCGTGAGCAGCTCTTGTGCAGACATGGTGGGGAGATCTAGGTCAGAGCCAGCGAGGGCTGGGGAGGAGGGAGACGGCTGAACATGGTGTGGGATGGCCACTCGCCCTCTGTGCTTGCTTGGACAGACACTGTGCAAGCACAGATGGACCACTACAGCTTTTCTGACCTGCCACAACTTGGTCAGAGCTGCCATGTGGCTGCTCCAACAAGCTGCTGTGTATCCACAAAGCATACAAGAGAAACAAAATGCTCAAAACTCCCGGCAAAAATGTCTGGGAAAAACAACTGACCAGGGCTAGGCAGACACACAGGTTCATCCAAAGCTCAGCAGGAGATGGGGGAATCCCCAGGGGGGGCAGTCAAGGTGGAAGTTAGCAACAAGGAGTGTTGGTGCAAGCCTTTCCCTACAAAGGCTTGTAAGATAGCCAGGCTATGTCTGGAAACAGACCCTGCTTCCCCTGCTCCCCCGCCCTGAAAAATCCACCACCAGCTCTCCAGCCCCAAACACTACAGTACCCTGCATCACCTGTGAGTCTGGGGTGAGTCGGATGTGTTCCTCTCTGGCTGTTCTTGGGCACGGGTCTTCTCAGATGCCAGCCCCTTCACCACCACAGCCAGGACACATGCGCTGGGGGACAGCCAGCTAGAAGGTCTCCTGCCACAAAGCAAAGAAAGCCACAAGGTCGTCTGGGAAGCCTTTTCCCACCCATCCTGCTCAGACTATTCTGGTGGTCTGGGAGCTGACAAAGGCCCTATCAAGCACCACCGAGCCTCCACCACTAGCTCCTGCTGCTCTAAAGGACTGACACAATGCGATGACAGCAGCACTTGGGAAATGCACTAATCCCAGGAGCACAAAACCTGGATAACAGGCAGTACAAGACACCCGGCAAGGCCAGCAAGCCTCACGGTGTGCTCTCTGTTTGCTGCCTGGGAGAAAAACCCTTCCTCAGCACATGCTTCTCCCCCCACCCTGCCTGCCCAAGCTGGGTCTTACCTGGACCTAGCTGAGTTGGTGTCAGGACTGGGAGGGAAGCTCCTGGCAGAGGGGCTAGTGGCTCCAAAGAGCCAGCCCAGCCAGCTGCCCTTGTCAGGACCAGGATGACCACCCGCCTCTGGGTCAGAAGGTGCTGCCTGGTTCCTATTTGCATGAGGCTCTGGGCAAACAACCAGGAGTTTCTCCTCAGCACCAGGATCATCTGGCTTGGTGGGTGCTCCAGCTCCAGCAGGCGGGATGAGGTCTTCAGGGGAAGAGGTCCCAGAGGTGTCAGCACTGCTGCTGGGCTTTGGACTGGAGAGTTCAGGGACAGCTTTGGTCTGAAGGAGCTGCAGCTCCGTGCCTTTAGGGTCATTCACGGATGTTTGGGATCGCACAACCTGGCCAGGGCTGGAATCCCCCACAGCCGTCTGCAGCTTTGTCCACCAGACAAAAGGGAACTTTTCCTTGCTAGGAGCAGCATAAATCCTGGAGGCCTGGCTCAGCTGGCCCCACCAGCCACTGAGGCCAGCCCCAGTGTCCTGAGGGCCTGCCTCGGGCCTGCAGGTCTCCGGGCAGCTGTCAACTCCCAGGAAAGTGCGACTGAGCTGGTCGCCCCACCACAGCACATGCTGGAAGGTCTGCTGCAGGGCAGCCCCCACCTGGGGGCCAGGGACCAGCCCACGCACAGCTGCTTGGGACTGGGACCTTGTGTTGCCCTCTGCACCAGCTGCCCTCCCCAGAGTATCAGGGGGGATCTCGTCTTCCAGGCTTGCCCCTGCAGCATTGCTTTGGCCCTCCAGAGAGGGCTGCACAGCCCCCCGAGCCTGAGCAGAGTGATGGGCAGGAGACAGAGGTGACTCTAGCTGACGGGACAAGGGTCTTACATCCACGGAGAGGTGGTGGTGTTCAAAGAGCAGGTCAATGTGGAAAGTCAGCACCGAGAGGGGCTGGATGAGCAGCAGCAGTTCATCAGCGAGGTGGGGAAGAGGGCCTTGGCTCAGGGCAAAGAAGGCCGTGGGTGAATACAGCACGGAGATTACACCTACAAGATATGCACAGCTGCAAAATGCCCTGCCCTTGCCCACACACCCCTCCCAGGGCCAGCTAGTCTGTCCTAGCAGGTCAGATGAGCTTCTGCTGGGTGTTGTATTGAAGATGCACTATGAAAAACAATGCCCTTATCCACTACAGAAATCCCAGCCAAGCATCGTGGGTGGAACAGGTATGGGATTATCACCCTGGCAAACAGGAGAGGACTGGGGTGGGGAGCTTCCAGGCACTGTGTCCTTACCTGGGCTCTTCTGCAGGTGAGAGATCCATAGCTCCAGCTGCTTAATGCTAAACAAGACAAAAGGAACCCAAGTTAGAGCTCCTGGGACTCTCTTCCAACCTGCCATCACAGCAAGGACAGCCTGGGCCAGCAGGCCCAATACTCACTTCAAAAGGCCGAGGATAAAGGCATGAAACTTCTGTCTGGTGCTGTTGAGAGGGGCCAACCCAGCCACGTGCCAGCACAGGGAGCGGAGAGAGCGGGTGTTGGGGCCTGTGAAATACACAACACAGACAGTCACTGCTCTGGGCACGCATTCTCCCCCAGCCCAGGCTGGAAAAGGGCTCCAGGCACCCTGAGATGCCAACATCTCCAGGAGCGTGTTCCACACACCAACCTGTCTTCACAGAGGCTTCCACCACCCTCCAGGGGGAATTTTTCCTTTGGCCTGTGATAACATCCTTCTGGAATGGCTTCAGCCCATCCTCCACCAAGGCATAGAGAGCAGGGCAGAGGGTGTGCAGCAGCAGATAACCCACATCTGGGCTGAGCCGGCTGTCTCCCAGCTGGGCCTGAAGTAGGGTGGCACAAGGAGAGGAGAGGGAGGGGAACGGCAGCACCTAACCCTGAGCCTGCAGGGAGGGATGATGGGATCCTCCCCCGGGAACTCCCAAAGCCCCTCCTGCCCAAAGCCTGCATGGCCTGCCCTCGCTCCTACCCACCCCAGCCCAGCCAGAGCCTCAGCCCAGACCCTCACCTTCTGCACGAGGTTCCGCGCGGTGCTGAAGTGGGCAATAATCTTATCCACGGCGGTGCTGACGGCAATCAGCAGGGCTGCCGGACAAGAGAAAGGAAGACGTCAACGTGGCACCCAACCCCACCACCACTGCAGCACCTGCCTCAGCCCATCAGCAGCGCGGGGCTGGCTGGGGCTGACCAGCATCACGCTGGCCACAGCTGCAGCAAGCAGCCGCTCTGGACATCAAGGCCTGGAGGAGCCAGGGAGGAGCGGGCAGGAGGGTAATGGAGCATCCCAGGCCGTTGCCATGGGAACCTGTAGCTCTCGGGTGCAGGGATGAAGGACCCGCCGTTTCCAAGGGGACAAGGCCTGGATGGAGCCGTGGGCAGGAGACCCTCAAGGTGTTTCCAAGATGCCGGGGCAGCCCCACCCCCGTTCTCCGGCTCGACAGCCCCATCTGCCGAGAGACGGGCAGGGCCGGGCCCTGCAGCAGGCAGCCCTGCCTGCCCGTGCCCGCGCCCAAAACACCAGCCAGGCCCACCGCC